ACTATATTTACACTTTCATTTATATTTGATAGATTGGCAAATATTTATTCTTAGTAATTGTTTTTTTAACAGTATCTATTTCGAAGTTGTCGATTTCATTTAAGAGATTAAATCACTCGGCATTAGTAGTGATGACAACATCTGTAAAAAAGTTTTAAAATTTTATTTTAAAGTTTGTCTAATATCCATAAACTAATATAAACTATCACTACACGACAAGAAAAGTGAATAATAATAAAAAACAAATAGTCGAGCAAGCTAAACTTAAATTCTTTTTTTTTCTCTTTATTGAAATAAGACTAAAAAATGACAACACAGACTCTATACTACGATAGATTAATCGTGCTTATTTTGTTTATATATACTGTTATATGAAAAAAAAATACGTGAAAACAATAGTAACGAAAAACCAAAGATTTTTTCTATCACAACATGTAAGTTTGTATTGAGTTTTATTATTCAAGTAAAATTGTTTAATTAAAGTTGTTGTTGTTTCAGTGCAGATAAATCTTGTTTTGACAATGATAAAACTCCCATTTGCAATTGATGTTTTGTTGGTTGTTGATGAAGTTCTGTTCGTCGTTTTAAAACTGGAATAGCAAATAAAATCAAACCACCTATTAATATTGAACCACCAGATATTAAATATGGCCAAAGATATGGTCGATTAAAATCTGAAAAAGCATCACGCATTGTGCCTGAAAGAAATCAATTATATTTAAAGAAAGTTTTTCATCATTTATTTTCTTCTTACCAACAATTGGTGTTCCAAGAACAACAGCAGTACCTTGAAATAATAAAAGAACACCAAAAGCATCAGATAATTTATCAACACCCACTAAATCTACAATAATAATTGATGTTAGACCAACATTACCACCAGAAAAAAATCCAAATATTCCAGCATAAGTCATATGTGTATGAACAAAAGAATTACAAAACGGTGCAAACATTGTTGCTATACCAGTAATTATTAATCCTGTATTGTATAATGTTAAACGATTAACCTATATGTAAAAGAAAAACGAATAGATTATATAGAAAAAATTATTTTGTTTTTTTTTGTTACCCATGATCGATCAGCTAAATAACCAATAATAACTCGACCAACACAATTAGTTAGACCAATAGACATAATAATCCAATGTCTTTGATGTTCAATTACTTTCGTATCAGTAGCTAAGTCATTAGCAAAATTGTATGGAACATAAAAACCAAGACTTGTCAAAAAATTTGATATTGTAAATAAAGCAAATGCAGCATCTTTTAATAAATTAAAATCAATTTGTTCAGCAATTTTTGCTAGAAATGATTTTTTTTCAGCTTTGTTAATTGTTTCATTTTTCATATCACTTGTTTTTATTACTTGACGATGATAGTCCTCAGTATCCTCGTTATATAATGGAATATTATGTAAACTACCTTGATAAATCGCATCTTTACGTGAAACTACGACTGGTAAATTAGTTGTCAGTGTTTCGAATACATTTTCATGAGATCCTGAAACAGTTTTGTTTGTTGAATGATTAATGTAAAGGTTATTGGTCTTCATATCTGATAGTGACACTCGACGTTTACCATCAGATAAATATTTCTCTTCAATAGGAACAACAGGAGCTGGTTCTCTTATAACTACACTTATTTTTTGTAATGGAATATCACTAAAACAAAATACAAATCATTGATGAATCATGTACAACGAAAGACTATCTGCATGTTGCAACTATATAAAACAAGAAACATATTTCTAAAGAATAAATCATCATCATCATCCTTTGGTCTCATATCTTATGTATTTGTTTTTATCATAGTCCCTTTTGTTTAAAGAATTCAAATAAATATCTAGAATTCCATCTATCCTATAGATAAATATTTACACAATTAATAAATCTAAATTTCAAACCTTTTTTCATTCATCGGAAGTAACTGACTTTGTTGTTCGTCATTTTGACTAGTAACAGTTCCTGTTTTGAATGCTTGTCGTTTAGCTTCTGCTCGTGATTTTCGTTTTATACGTCTTATTTCACTTGGTTCTTGTGGCAATGGAATCTAAAGAAGATTAAATTTTTAAAGTTTTCTTTTTATCAAAATAAACAATACCATTAAAGCACCAAATATAACACAAATAAAGATAATTGCTGCCTCGAGTAGAAGAACACCTTCATAATCGAACCACAATGGTGCATTCATAGCATATGGCATAACAGCTGGAAATACCAATGTACCCAAACCTGAACCACAAACCGCAATTCCCATAGCAAAAGAACGTCGCCTTTCAAAATAGAAACCAACCGACACAATAGCAGGTAAATAGATTAAACCAAAACCAATGCCTATTGACATATGAATCTACAACTATCAAAACACAAGAATTTCTTGTAAAACATACCTCCAATAATACCAATGGCAAGATAATAAAACCAAAGATTCGCCCAAAAATAACTTGCTAAAAAACCAGCAGCAGCAAGACAAGCTCCAACTATTGTTACCTTTCGACATCCATATGTATTTGTAAATATTGTTGCAATAGGTCCTAAACATTTACTATTTGATAAAGAACATATCTTGAAAGAAAAGTTGTTCACCTGTTACAAGTGTTATTGCCGGTAAAATTCCAAAAATAGTTGAAACAGATCCTCGAGTTTTATTTAGATTTTCTATCATCGGACGTAAAAATAAATCACCCATTGAATATGTTATTCTATTATTTTAAAATAAAATTACGATTTCCAGAAAATAATTTACTAACCCATCCATTATAAAATGTATCATAAGAGATGCAAATACAATAATCCATCCCCAACCACCATCAGTCACAACAGCTCCAGGAACTGCACTGTTTATATTACCGGCATTCGTCATTTGTAATCTTTGATCCTGAAATAACAAAAAGAAAATGGAAATAAAGGGACTGTCTACATACAATATCATCAAATGAAACAGAATGAGATTCGAAAAAAAGTGTATTCATCAATAAAAACAAAATAAGGTAGAGGAATTTTTTTCCACATAATTTCGAATGAATTGTTTAACATTAGTTTATCTCAAGGATTCTTTTCTTTGAACGTCGCTATAAGACGAACAAACAAACAAGACATGAGCATTTCTAGAGTCCTCTTTCTGTCTTCATCAAATTTAGAGTGTGGGTGTGCATGAAGAAAAGTATCACATTCATATTCATACCCTTAAGATGAACACTCACTTCTCAATCGTTACTGATCCATTGTTTACAGTCATGCTTTGATGATGGCGTGATTAATATTATATCATAATAGTTTCCTCCATTTTATACTCATATTTATTCTCCATTTTGTTTGTACCTCATTGGTAAGCGCTTCAAAGTATCACCAATAAAATACGCAACATAAAAAAAGAACCATCTACCTGTATATCTTGTCGTATTATATCTTTCTAATCGTTCGTCGTTGTTCAAATTGAAAGAACAGAAAGAAAAGAAGATTCACATTACTTTTTATTCGATCACGACAGAAAAAAAAACATTTTTTGCAATTGATACCAACGTTGAATAAATGATGTTAATAATTTCCAGATTAAAATATAACCATAGTTAAAATAGAAACTAAAACAAAAATTCAACTAAGAAAATATTTTGTTTTTTTTTTATTCTTCTGTACTTACATACTGAACAGTATTCTGCTTAATTGGCGTGCTAAATGATCAAGATAGCGTCAGCACATTATGGCACCGAAACGATTAAAAGTTACTATGCATGTAAGAGCCTATAGAACATTGTTATTATATATGTTTTATTGATTTGGCAAAGAAAGTAAAGAAATGTTTTCATTAATGGTGCATTAGAAAACTGTGTTTAGATGAAACCCACGGACGCCATTATTAAACAGAATCTTTTTTAGAAGAAAACTTCTCATACGTTTATTATAATATAGAATAATTATAAAAAGTGATATTCCCATGTATCTAAGAAGAAGTGTAAAGAAAAATCTTACAAAAATGGCATAATTATGCAATATGAAGACTTCTGTTTTGTGGAAACAACATATGTTTTCGAAGAAAATAGTGCGCGTAAATTTCAAGTTGACGTTTTTTATCATCCCCTCCCATTACAAATAATTCTTCACTACAGGCTTTATCAATCTCGCATAACATGTGTCAGAATTTCTAGAATTTTTATGAAAATTGATCAAGTTATAATTTTGAAAGATAATTAACAAGATTGTTTGTGAGTTAAGGAACATACAGAATAGTATGTGAGATCTGTATATATTATGAATGTGTAAAACATGCTCATTTACTAATTCATTCAATGATTATAATAATAAAAATGTTTAATTAAGAAAAAAAGAACTAAAAAAAAAATAAAAAATAATGAATAAATAGTAACAATACAAACAGAAATACGGTGCTCGTAGAAAAAATAAAAAATTTCGGTTTGAAATCCAGAAATTAGAAGGGCTCTCACTATGATGTTTGATTATCCTACAAAAAGACTGATCTACAAGAGATTTTTCACTTAATGTATTTTGCATTAGTTTAGTGAGGTTAGAGAATACATATGACTTTTACATTCCAACCTCAAAGGAGCTGCACTAACAAACTTTTTGTCTTCGTATTAATAGAACATTATTCCTTCAATTGTAGGGAGGGTCATATGAAATAAAATGCGTTTGTATGTATGTATCTATGCGTCAAGATAAAAAAAAAACATCAGAGACGACCCTCGTGAAGATGCTCATACGGTAGTGCTCATGAGGTTTGAGTACTCGTCTTGTGAAATAGAGTAATTCGCAAATATTCATTATACATTTTCTAAGTACTCTAGTGGTTTTTTTTGTAAAATACTGATACGCATATTTTTGTTCAGCATTGTTATACTATATTCGTTTTATTTTATTAAAAAATTAGCAATGAAGCAAAAGTGTATATTATGAAAATGCGAGAAGGGAAGATGCCACATTGTTTTTATTTTTTTATATAGAGTATAGAGATAGACGTTTTATCTTTAGAAAAAAAAACAGCGCATGAAAACACTTATTAAAGACAGTATAAAAATATTCAAGACAAGTGCGCACTAAATTATTCTCTAAATTAAAACATTCGATAACAATAAATGCAAATATACAGTACGAAAAAAACAAAAAACACAAAAACAAACATTTTAAAATTATAACTAGATTTAATTTAAAAATATATAGAATAATGAATAAATAAGTTTAGTATCCTATGTATAACGCGCATACCTTAAGAATGTTGAATTCAGAGTAATCTGTATGGAAAATTATTATTTATCATTTCTTTCAATAATTTTATTTATCAATTAGAAATATTGTTTATTAATCTGAAAGGAGATTTCATCTAAAATTTAGAAATTGAAATTCAACGAGCTATCCTTTGCACATCTTGACACATTTAATCTTACTCGAAAAATGAACAGTTGAAAATGAAAAGTCATTCTTCTTTTCGTTACATATAGTCATTGATTCACACCATAGAAGTGACTCATCAGTTTCAAAATATAGGATAAAATAAATAAGGCTTTTGAATATTTCCTTTCTATTTTCATATAATTTCATCATTTTCATTCTTTATACAATTTTATTTTATTCTTGTGCATGCTAGTGCATTAGTGTTTTGATACATGTTCTGACAAAAAACAGGAATGAGTACTATTTTGAGTACTCATGCTGTCATCTGCGAGTAAATTTTAGAAAAACAACTCATATGAATACTTGCTTGAGTCACGAAAATTACAACTACACCTAAAAATTCCAGGGAAGTACCTAGGTCTCCAGAGCAGGGGGGCGTAACGCCCCACTCACCCCTTCCTAGTTACGCCTCTGAAAATTTCGTGAATACTCAAATGAGTAACTTCAGTACTCATTCAGACAAGTCGTACTCTCTTGATGAGTATTTTCACTAGGGAAACTTGATTTGAGCGTAACTTCTTAAGTTTGACTAAAAAGTAATTGAGGTCGGCGAATCCAAATCTGTAGTCAGATTTTATATTCGACCTTCTCATTGGCTAGAAAGGCAGACAATTAGAAGGGTGGGTGTGGATATGATTGATTCATAAACAAAACCCACCCCACACCCTAGTGTCGACATTTTATTTCCAGTAGATCAATCTGGTCAACCATTCCGTTATTTAAGATCGAACATCCATTAGGTAAAACAATGATGTGTGATAATTGATGGCTCGGATACAACAACCATTGATTAAGGATCATCCATAGAGGATACTTGCATAAAATGGAAGGAGAAAGATAAAGAAAAAACAGACAAAATACAGTGTGGGTGTGGACGTGGGTATTAATAAAGAGAGCATTCACATCCACACCCATAATTCAAAGGGCAGTTCCTATTGGTGAGCATTGTAATGATTTGTATATTCCAGCCGTTTTCACTGTACATTCGCTCTACACGTCACGTATCGTATGATCGTTTACCACATGCTTAACGCGATCATACTCTTTCAGTAGAAAGTTAGCGACGCTTGCGTCGCGTTACTTGTTTAAATGTCCACCTTAGAGATGAACTCAGTTGTGTCCATTTACTCTCATAATGAGTGGGTGTGAAGAGAAGACAACATCCAAACTCACATCTGGTTGAAGAAATGTGGATGGATGTTTCCAACTTGTTTTAAATCAAAGAAGAATGTTGATGTCTGCATTCTGGTTTTGCTTCTCTCGCATTCACAACGATGTCCACATCTTTGTTTAAGTAATTCTAAAATAAATTTTTAACGGTCTGTTTAATTATAATACCATCTATCGATTGTGTTTCAAATTTAATCAGTGAATTAATTGATTGTATTTAGA